TATATATATATATATATATATATATATATATTTCAAAGAGAAATAGCAAAACTAAAATTCATATGCAAATTTAACACCATTAATCTGGGCTTGAATAGGGACTGGGAGTGGCTGGCTCATTACAGAAGCAGCTTTTCCTCTCCTGGAATTGACACCTCCTCATCTATTATTGGGAGTGGACTACATCCACCCTGATTGAATTGGCCCTGTCAACACTGGTTCTCCACTTGCGAAGTAACTCCCTGCTCTCCATGTGTCAGTATATAATGCCTGTATCCGTAACTTTCACTCTATGCATCCGAAGAAGTGAGGTTTTTACCCACGAAAGCTTATGTCCAAATAAATCTGTTAGTCTTTAAGGTGCCACCAGACTCCTTGTTGTTTTTGTAGATACAGACTAACACGGCTACCCCCTGATACTTCACACCGCATAGTGGCCTCCTGAGAGGAGGGAGAAGGAAGCAGGCCAGGACATACTGCCTTCTAGCTATTATGAACTACCCGATGCTTCCTGAGGTTGCCATAGCAGTACAATATAAATTAGAGCAATCCCTACTGCTACTCTAGCTCAGGCTGGAGACTTCTCCATTCCCTATCTGTAGAGCCCTGAGAAATTATATTATTTTTTATAATTTATTGTTAATTTTGTTTTATCGTAGGAGGCCCAGGGGGCAGGAGGAGGGTCTACCTATCTGTTTACAGAATCTGAGGCGCGCAAACATTACATAAAGCATCTTCTCGTTCTAGCCTATGCAGAGCTCAGTTTAACTGCAATCCAGAACTGGAGCATAGGATTCCAATCTATGTCTCCTACATGGCAACGACAACCAGTACTACTAGCTCCATGAGGCAGTATAAAAGCTTGCATACTAAGCACGAAAACTTCCTTTAAATAAAAAAGTAAAAGTCCTGTTGTCAAACAACTATTTCAAAACAAACGAGTTATCTATTAACACAAGCTAGCCACCTCTTCCTAAAATGGGTGCAACCTTTATCACTGGCAACCACATATTATACACCACTGTTTTATTTTATAAAAACAACAAGGAGTCTGGTGGCACCTTATGTTTTATTTTATGTTTCCAGCATTGTATTCTCTGTGGATAAAAACTGATCAAATTGTTTTTATCATTCTTAAAGCATGCAAAGTGAAAAATAATTCAGAAAACCAACTATAACATTTTTCTTGCAACAACTTTCCAAAGTTTTTCTTTGTTAGATTTTTTTTTTTCCCCTGGAGTTTCAACATGTCAGCTAACACCTTTGATGGAGGTGGTTGCTAGCATGGCCAACAGAGAGAATTCAGAGTAAAATTAGAGGACTGAAGTAGTGTTCTGTGTAAGAATCTGAACTTGAGAATTTCTTTATTTTCATTAACTGTAAATAAAACCTGAGGAGAAAATCTCTGAGAAACTAGATTTTAAAACATGATAAACTATAGTTAAGCTTTGATCCATAGCCAATTAAGAAATTCAGCATTGTGAAAAGACTTACAAAACTGTAGTTTGGGGTTGATCATATTTTGATTTTGTGAATTAATGAAGATGGTCTTGTTACTACAGATGATCTAGAAAGACAGAATATTTGACTTAACTAATTATTTTTATCTGAACATGACACAGAAAGCAATTTTACTTTTTCAGTTCTCTTTTTTATGAAGTTCTTGGTTACTGTTATCTTTTGATCCATCTTCATAAACTCCCCAGAAAGCTCATCTCTATGGAAAACTTTGGGACACTGATTGTAAAGCCTGCCTCAATTGTTATAAATATGGTCACAAGAACAACTTTTACAAAGCCTGTAGTTATAACAGACTGCTAATTTAGGGGGGACTCATCCTGCAAGCACAAAGGGTGAGATCCTGCTACTGGACCCATTCAGGCACAAGGATTCACTTGTATGGATGCCCCACTGAAGTCACTGGGGCAGGGCAAGTGTGCAGGGGTTCGCTTGTGTGGCTCCAGTTGCAGGATGCAAGTTTACTCACACGAGTAGTACTAGCAAAGTCAATTATAAACCAGTTTATGAATGAAACTCTCTGTACATCAGAAGGACCTGGAAAGAATTCTAAAATAAACAAGTAAAACTCACAAAACGTTGCCAGTCCCAGAGCAAGAAAATGCGTGCAATACTATAATAAATCACTCAAACGATACAGTGCTAATATACTATGCTAAAATAAGAGATATGGAATAAAAATGTATTAAGAAAAATCAATAATAGATTTGATTTATATAAGTAACTTCAAGATTATCAATCCAGTTTTCCTTTTAAAAATAAGTTCCTTAAGCATTCTTTCTTGTTTGAAATTCTTTTTCCTCTTTCCCAAATGTTAGTAAATTTAAGGCCCGAACCCTGCAATTAGATCCAGGTGAGTGAATTCCTGCAAGCATTCATAAGGAGCCCCACTGAACCATGGCAGATCCAAACACACTTTGTCCTTGTCTACACTTGTAGCAGTGTGTAGGATACTTGTAGCTACACACTGTAGCAGAACGCATGCTGCGTCCACGCTGCGATGCATAGCTAGACATGGCAGTAAAAGGCTCTGGCAGTGGAGAAAGTTCCAGCAGTGGAAAGACAGCAGGAGGCAACATTGCTAAAAAATATCAGTGTAGAAGGGGGAGGCACTGCTTGGATGCATAGAGAGCCATGTAGGGTATGCACCCTAAGGTTTTGGCGTGTCTGTACCCTCCTCACCTAAGCAGTGTCTCACCCTCTACACTGCTGTTTATACCCATGCCAGGGGGGCATGCAGTGTATGTACTCTACATACCACCGTAAGTGGGCAGTGTAGACATACCCTTTGACTCCCAACAGTGGTACTACAAGTGACTGGCAACATTTTTTCTCTGGATATTATTAAGTAAGCAGCACCTGGAACAGTGGAGGGCATCTGGTCATGGAAGTAACTTCCCCTATTGTACTTCAGAATCTCCTGGACATTATGTAAATCCAAATTAAATGCTCATTAAGAGAAGGCCTGACTGTTTCCAGGGAAACGACACAGTTTAGTCCCTGCAGGCCATGGCCAGTTATACCTGTTTGTCAACTTAGTCTTGACATTATTTGTTTCTGTTTGATGTATAACAAGAATTTCTGAATAACAACATTTCTTAAATTCCTGACAACAAAATACAAGTTTGGTGTTTTTCTTCCTAGGTTTAGTTTAATTACTAACCGGAGTGTGCTACTAGACTGAGTTAATCAAAATTACTATTCCGCAGGTGGAAAAGAAGAATTAAGACCTGCTTACTATACATATCATTTGTAAGCATACATAATATAATTGTCTACTCTTTGTATTTACATACATTTTAAATGTTGTATTGTTTATATTTTATTCGGGGATTGTCACAAAAAATCTTCTCAGTATGATTCATAAACCTGGGATACACAACATTTTTATTATATTTATTTTGGTAATCAAAGCTGATCTAGGAATATGTCTAATGAAATTTATGATAATACTTAATTTGTTTAAAGTCTTAGTCTATGTAAAAATAAATAATATTGCATATATACCCCCAAAGGATAACAAATAATCTTGCATTCATCCCAAGGGATCCCGAATGACTGTTCATGTACACTGATGCGCAAACAGTACAAAGGGCTCATATCACCCACTGCTAATACATAAACACCTAGTGAATGAAACAGCAGCTACTGAACAACTATCGCAATATTACAAGACAGTTTAGGGCAGATTAAAAAAAAAGTTCTGATTACATATTTGTGTTTGCCAAAAAAAACATGTCAAATACAAAGCTGTCTCAAAAAATGCTATGTACAATTGTAACAGTGCAAAGTTTACTGCTACAAATATTTTTAAGGCCCTTAGCAGAGAATTATATAGCAAACAGTAAACAGTCTTCAGCTGACTATATACCTTCAACAGTTAGTGGGATACTCATTTGTTTCAGACTCTCTAGACTATTGAAAGAGTAAAAGAAGAGGGGTTAAACTAGCTAAAGTTACTAAATACTCCATTCCAGTTTAAAATCTCGGAATCCTAATAATAATAAAAATATTCAGAATACTTAGCACTTACAATGCATTAAATATTAGCTGGTTAAATAGCACATATAGATTCAGTGGCATACAATACTCTGAGTAGTGTTTAACTTTTCTGGATAGCTAAATTCAGAACAACCTAAACATTTTTTTAAAAGCAATAACACACAGCATACAATCTTACCAACAATACTCATGAAAATTTAAATCCTCTTTTCTTTCTTTCTTAAAAGACAAAGATCACGACAAAAAAAAACTTTCGTTTTTTGTCACACAACTAAAATCCCAAATCCAGCACTCCAGACAGTTTCACCATGTGATAGGATTTTAATGCACAGCCCAGGGAAGTTCTACACATATTTTTCCAACTTTCTCGAGAGGTATCACTTGTCTGCTTAAACCCACGGGCTTATCTACTTCGTATTAAAACACAGTATAACTAGAGGGTCGCGGGGGGGGGGGGTGGAGAGAGAGAAGACAAGAGCGCGTGAGTGACACAAATAAACAAGAACAAAAGGCAGAGGAAACTTTCTCCCCAGGGTGCACCTGATACACCCCCCAATTCCTCCCACGCCGAGCAGGCTAAGCCAGGACAGGAGATTCAGCTGAGTTGGAAATCCCGCCAACCCTTCCCCTTTAGTGGGGCACAAGGGCTGGGGTACCCAAGTGCCCCCCCGTGGGACAGAAGGGGTGCAAGCCAGCCGAGCGCCCCCGCCCTCTGGCTCACCCACCTGGTGCAGCGTGTCCGCAGGGAGCTGCGATGCCCTGAACAAGTCGCCCACTTTGCTCCCCCCGGCGGCTGGGGCTGGTGCCGAGCCGCCCTCGGGCGCGGGCGAGCAGCAGAGCGAGAAGAGCTCGGAGTAGCGCTGCTGCTCCGTGTCGCTGAGGGGCAGGAGGAGCCCCGCTCCCCCCGCGGCTGCCCCCCCCGGGTCCCGGGTCCATGGGGCGGGGGCTGCGGTGCCGCGGCGGAGACGGGCGGCGGGAGTGCGGAGCTGCGGGGAGCGAGGAGGCGGCGCTGCAAAGGGGGAAGGTGCCGTCCCCGTTCCCCCGCCTCCGCGGTGCGGCTCTGCAGTGCTCCGGCTGCCGGCCGGCCAGCGAGCCGCTCAGTCAGCACCTTTCCCTCCCCCCCTGTCGCAGACAGCGGCTTAGCCCGCGCCCGCCAGCGGCCCCCGCAGGCGTAGAGCGGGACGTGCCCAGCCGGCTCGCCGCGGAGCCCGCAGTGTCACGGCTGGGGCTGGCCAGCAGGGACACGCCGAGGCGCGGGAAGGGAGGGGCGCCGGATTCAGCACCCCTGAGCGGGGCAGAGCGGCCGCAGCGGTGGGGGGAAGCGCGCAGCTGCCCCAGGGGCGGCAGAGGAGAAATTGCTGCCAGCCACCCCCGTTGGGAAGGGAAGGAGGGAGAGCGAGGCGACCCCCAGGGGGAAAAGGCTCTGCCGGCCTGGAGAGGTTTGGGGCGCTTTGCACAAGCTCTTCCGATCACTCGGGAAAGACTGGGGTCAGTGAAAGGTTCCTGGGTCAGAGCTAAAGGCCGGGGCAGCCTTTTGTGTGTGATACAGGCTGTAACCACCTGATCCTAGGCCAGTCCCCAAACCTTACGCTCTAGCCCCTAGATTCTTAGCTCCCCCCTTTGCATTGTCAGAAATGTTCAGGATATCTTTAGTGACTGAGGGCCCGGCTCTCTAGCTGTGGGGTGCTTAGGTGGTCCCCTTGGATGGAGTGTCTGAAGGACCTGCCAGGCGTCAATGTGTTTATCCTCACAACACTCCTGTTAGGTAGGGAAGTGCCATTATCCCCACTGTACAGCTGGGGAACTCAGGCACAGAGAGGCCAGGTTACAGAGGAAGTTTGTGGCAAAGCAGGGAACCTAAAACAGACCTCCCAAGGTAATACCATAACCACAAGACTAACCTAGCTCATTTTCTGAAGTACTGGACACCCACGCAGCTTCGGCTTCACTGGAAGGTGTTGGGGATGTTCAGCATTGCTGAAAATCAGACTAGGCTAATGTAACTTAGTTAACCGTTATACTTGTCACACTCTCACTGCTGCCCCTCTAATGCTGGCCTGGCGGTGGTTTTGTATGTGCATTTGGCTGCAGTGCTTCAGCCAGCCATCCTTACCAGAGCTGCCCCCCTTCCCTATGAAGTCAAACCAAGGGGAGTTCCTGACAAAAAAAAGCTGCTGTGCATTCTGTGTATACTATTTCTGATTTGGAGACAGCATTCATATGTTTCTATTTTAGTTGGGGTTTTTTTTAAGACACTCTTACTGGATATGTGTTACAGTCAAAATCCTTTTTAAATAGTACCACCTATTGCCAAAAATACCACTTGAGTGCTTTGTATAAGATAATTCAATCATTCAATAAACTAAAATGGGGCTTAATGAACCAACAGTGAATGGTTAGTAGAAAAACAGTCCACAGCCTGTCTGAGTGGAGGGGGTGCAACCAAAAATTATAATTCAAAGTGAGGGTTCAGTTCAAAAAGCCTGAAAACTGCTCAGGGTGCAGGGAGGGAGGTAGTTAGGGTCTGTGTGCAGACGGGGGGCAGCTCAGGGTGCAGGCAGGTGGTAGCTAGGGGCTGTGTGCAGGCAGGGGGTAGCTCAGGGTGCAAGGAGGGGGTAGCTAGGGGCTGTGTGCGGGTAGGGTATAGCTCAGGGTGCAGGGAGGGTAGCTAGGAGCTGTGTGCAGGCAGGGTGTAGCTCAGAGTGCAGGCAGGGATGTAGGTCAGGGTGCAAGGAGAAGGGTAGCTAGGTGCTGTGTGTTGGGAGGGTTGCTGCTCCCTGAGTGCTCTGCCAGCCCCAAAGCCAGGTCCCCCTGCCCAGGCAGTTCTTACCAGTTGCATGAGCAGTCAAAGGGGCTGGGAGTTGAGGAGCAGCCGCAGCCCCAAGCAGCAGGAGGAGGAGACGGGTTGGGAGTGGGTGAATGCCACAGCAGCTGCCCACTCCCTGGCACCAGCCAGAGCAGCAGCTGCCCTGCACTGACTTCCTGACTCCGACCTGGCCAGGGAGGGGGGCCTCTAGGGGGAAAGGAGAGGAGGAGGTGGGGAGTGTAAGTGGAGCTAACCAGAGTGGGGCAATCCCAAGGGCAAGGCACTGCAGTTTGGGGGGAACAGCAACACCTCCCCTGTATCTCCCCCCAACTCTGCTCATAGGGGATGCTGGGTTTGTGAACCCCCTGAAACTGCCTCATGGCCCCCTGGTTGAGAACCACTGAGCTAGGAAACAGCATCCCATCTGATGAATGATTACTTGGCCTCTGTTATTCATGCCTCAGCATCTCTTGGCTGCATTACTACAGTAATGCAATATTCCTGGGAAAGAAGCCTTCAGTGTTTAGGAATCCCTAACTAGTTTATTTGGTCCTGCCTCAGCACAGGAGGACTTAATGACTTCTCAAATGCACTTCTCAAAGTCCCTCTCAGCTCTACATTTCTATGATTCTAGTATAGAACTCTGCAGTGCATTTACTCAGCAATACTGGCTACCACCATGAGCACACCAGACTTGTCCTCCACACTCTATACTGGCTTTCCATACCCATAGAATATCAAATCCAAGTTCAAGGTCTTGGCCCTTATCTTCAAGGCACTCAATGGCCTTGGGCTGAGGGAATCTAAAAGCTCAACTAAAGCTATGGAAGTCCATGGCCAACATTTTTGCTTCTCTGCCACATGGAACTTTCTACAGTAAGTAAAGCTTGCCTGGGCAGGATACAGAGTTTTCTCAGAGGCTAGTCAAAGACTGTGGAATGAATTCCCGCAGGAACCACGGATTATCACAAACTTTGCCACCTTCTGCTCCAAGTGCAGGGCACATTTCTTTGACTTTGCCTTCTCTCACACAAATATCTAGAAATGTGTGTGCATGCGTATGTGCATAACATTTAAAAACCTTCAAAACAAAACACTTCACTGCCCACACCTCTGCCCGGGGGAGATGATAAGAGAAGAAAAAACATGACATGTATTAGTCATATCACTTAATGCACAACTGGAAGGTGATCAGATACAGTGCCGATTAGCATAGTATAAGAACCTATATAGAATAGAAGATTACATGTTTTGCGCAGAGGTCGAGGGAGGCGACCTGTGTGGTATGAATGGGGGATGTGGGTGTGGAGGTAATATGTTGCAGAAAATGAAATCATAGTTATAGGTTACAAGGGTTGTGTGAGGAGTTAACTAGTTATTTCCTGGCTCTTATATGGTTGTGTTGGTGGAATATGCACCTAAGCAAACTTAACAGGTTTTTATTAAAGATTTGTTTTGGTTAGTGGAATTTCCCATTTGTTTAAGATGTCTGTATCAACATTGATAGTGATTGTGACTTGGATAGCTATCAAAGCTGATATATAATATCATCTCAAAGACCTGTTGTAGACTTATACTTCGACATTCCTCTTACATTGCTCCCATGTTCCTTCTGCCCTCATCCCCAGTCCGTTTTCCCTTTATGTTCCCTCCACTCACACGTTTGATACTCACCATGTTCCAATATTCCCCTACCAAATTCAACTTTTAAACACTGGTTAACATTTAAAAGCTGAGTATGGGATGAACTAGGGCTGTGGAGGGAAAGATGGGGCTGAGTCAATACATGTTTGGGTATAGAGAGAGAGGTGATACTTTGTGGAATGGTAAATAATGATGGAGACAGGTCAGTTATACATAAGCCCTTTCATTTTCAGTTTAAACCGATTTTTATAGAAAAAATCCCAGGTTTTACAAAAAGTAGTATTATTTCCCCCAATTTTCACCCTACTTTTGTATCATTCAAATATATAAAAACATTGTTTTATTAGGAAAATACAATAGATTGCATGATATATATGTATTATGATAATACATTAACCCCTGTGTATATGCAAAGCTCCCTGATGAAGGCTATGTATTAGTTTAGAAGATACACACAAGAAACAAACAGGCACTCACACAAGCTCTGAAGTGCGTGTGCATCTAAACATATTGATTAATCTCACGCCCACCACGTATACATTTCAAGCTGTTAGCAGATAACAGTTTAAAGATCTGACACACTAAAATGGGAAGAAAACGAAATCTGTATCAGAATATGTTTCAGAACACAAGGAAATATTCAAACGTTTTTAAAAAAAACAAAAACAGGAAAAAAGGATGAAGTTGAGTCTGTGCACTCAGATGGTGTGGCACAATTATTAAAGGTAAGTATAGGCTAATAGTTCTAAGTCTTCAGCAGTAAACTTTATTCAAATGAAAAGTTTTATTTGGGGATTAAAGATATATTGTTTTCTTAAACTCAGAGGTGGCATTGTGTTTTGAGTTCTGTTTTAGTTCTGCAATTCCATTCATCAAAGTGTTAATCTACTGAATACTTTTCCCTCCATCCTTCCGTCCACCAAAATAAACCCCGATATTTACCCAGAAAAATTTATAGTTTTTTCCACCAATATTCACCTCTTTTTGTTCTTGTAGTAAAAAACACCAATACAATCCTGAGAAAAATTAAATAAAATAAAATCTGACAACAAAGGGCCATAGTTATACAGAACAACATGGATTGTTTGGTAATGTGGGGTCATGTAAACAACATGTGTTTTAACACAGCCAAATACCAGGTCATAAACCTAGGAACAAAGAACATAAGTCATACTTCTAAGGAGAGGAACTGTGTCGTGGGCCAGGGAGAGGGTTGGTGTCCATGCCTGGCAGTGCCACCTAGTAGCAATACTCTGGCTGTGTCACCAGTGGCAGGAGTCTGCAGCTGCATTGCCTGGCGATAGGTTCCAACCCAAGGCCCAATAAAACAATAATTCAAAATATAGAGCCTGCAGGTGGGTGCCCCAAGCCTGCTCCCTGGGCCACTTCTTACTCTGGCTTCAGTTCCTTTGCTGATGCCTCTGGTTTCCTTGTGAGTTCCCCCAGAATCCTCTCAGAGAGTCTTCTCAGTTGGGGTTCATCGTTGCTGTCCTCTGCAGTTGAAGGGCCTGCAGCAGCTTAGCGGTGGGGCCTGGTGGCAGAAGCCTGCACCACATAACTGCTGTCCGGCTCAGTCCATATAAACTGAGCCAAGCTACTCCCTTTTGAGTTTGGCCTATATTGTGAGCATTCCCAAAATAGAAGTTGTGTATAGACAACTATACACCTGTAAGTCAA